GCTAGGATTTCAGGTATGAGCTATCATTGCAGGCCAAGAGCAATTGTCTGTTGGTAGTAAGATTTTTTTCCTTTTTATGTTCATTTTCTAAAATTTCTACAATGGTCATATATCCCCTTTGTGGTAAAAACAAAATCATGGGTTTGAAATGATAACAGCAAATGAAGCTACAATCCTAACACACTCAGCAGACTGAGGCAGCAGGATCCCAAGTTCAAGGCCAGCCTGGGCTATATAGTAAACCCTATGGGGGTTTACTATACAGAGCAAGATCCAATATCAAAACTGAAGCCAGGGTCTGGGGCTATAGCTCCAGTTGGTAGAGTATTTACATGCACAAGGTCATGGGTTTAAACTCCAGCACCCCATAAACACACCATAAACTGGGTGTGGCAGCACACACCTATAATTCCAGCACTTGTGAGGCAGAGGCAAGAGGATCAGTTTTAAGGTCAACCTTGGCTACACAGTGAGTTCCAGGCCATCTTGAATTTCAAGACCATCCTTGTCATCATCATTGTCTCCCCGACACCCCCTCAAAAGAAGGAGAAAGAGTCCAGTCTGAGCTATAAGAACCTGTTTCAATAAATAAATAAGTAAATGCATAAAGCAGCAATAGCTAGGACACTGGAATAGGAAGCTTTTTTTCTCAGGACAGGAGAGTTGACTATATTTACAAGCAGGAGGAAGATATTAAGGAAAACAGTAAAAGAGTGAAGATACAGTAGAGGGGTAAATAAGTGATAGGCAGGGGTACCTTGGGAGACACGAAGGGTCAGCACCCATAGTACACAGTGGGGGTTTGAACTAGGACCCCCCTTACTGGGATTCAAGAGATGCACAGAAAGTGCCTGATGAGGTGGCACATGCCTAGAATCCCAGCACTTGGGAGGCTGAAGCAAGAGGATCTGTGTGTTGGAAAGCAGCCTGAACTACATAAGAGCCTGTCTCATAGAGAAGAAAGGAAGGAAGGAGAGAGGGAGGGAGGGCAAGTTGGGGGGGGGGGGGGGGGGTGCGCGCCGAGGCCGCCTTGTGGGGGAGGGGGGGGGGGGGGGTGCGCGCCGAGGCCGCCTTGTGGGGGAGGGGGGGGGGGGGGGTGCGCGCCGAGGCCGCCTTGTGGGGGAGGGGGGGGGGGGGGGTGCGCGCCGAGGCCGCCTTGTGGGGGAGGGGGGGGGGGGGGCTGAGGAAGATAGGCTTCGCCTCCCATCCCCTGCCCCCTCCACTCTCTAAGGGAGTAAAGGACTTTGAGGAATGAAGCCAGGTTGGAATATTCCTCCATGGAACAGATTGAGGAGAGAAAGATTTTTTTTTTCTAGAAGTCATAGAAAGATGACTAAGATATGATAGATACCCTGCTGGAAGCAGAGTCAGACTGCCCTAGTCTGTGCTGGTCTCCAGAGGCTTTCCAAATTCTGAGTATGGAATCCAGAACTGTGGTCTGCTGCTGGGTAGGATACGCAGGCAAGGTGGCCCAGTGATTGAGGGCATGGAATCCAGAAGGGAAACAGAAGAAGTGTTGCTCATGAGATAAAGAAAACGGAAGTGTCAGAAGACTGTGGGCCTCCTTGAGGTCACAAAGCAGGTAAATCAGAAGCTGGGCTGTGGTCAGAGAAGGATACTAGATTTCAAGACTCCATATATGGCCAAATGCCAATGATGACCAGACTCACAGATTTGGCTGGTGGGAATGGGATGTAAAATGAGAGACTATTCCAGCAGGAAACTCCTCCAGAAAAACAAGGAAGACAAGTAGGGAAGGGGTGGGAGCTAAAAGTAACTCACAGGAGCTTCAAGGGAAAACGCTCCCCTAACGGGCTCTGGCCTGGCCCTTATCACAGATCCTAGGCTGTTTCTCAAAGGTATCTCTTGCACAGTGACAGAAAAGTTAAGGTCTAATATAAATGATCTTCTTAGAACTAGAGAAGCCAGGTTTGTAATTAAAAGTTAAAGCAGAGACAACTTAGGGCTTGGGAGGGTTTCACAAGGCTGGGGTCACAGAAATGGAAGCCACCAGGGATCTTTGCCCTTAGTATAATGTTAGTCTTTTTCTCAGGGAAAGGGGATAAAAACAATCTCTGGCTTCTGCAACTGAAGTTCTTAGACTATAAAACAGGAGAATCAACGATTTATTGCTCAAGTAAGAATCTCTCTAAAATGCAGGCTTAATAAAACAAACAAAACAGCATATACAACCTGAAAATTTTGCTTTGTTGTGTTTTGTTTTTGATTTGACAAAAGATCTTCCTAGGTAGCCCTAGCTGGCCTGACACATGATATGTAGACTCCCAGCAATCCAACTGCCTCAGTCTCCTAACTGCAGGGATTAGAGGCATATACCACCAAATCTGGCTCCATATAACCTGAAAGTTGTTCAAGAACCCAAGACGGTAATAATTGTTCCATTCCTTAGTGTGAAGTTAGGGGGACAGGTTCTGAAGCAGGGAAAATAGAGTCCTTAGAAGAGAGTCAAACCTGCCTCAGATCCAGATCCAGCCAAATGTTTGAGGCCACTTAGTTCTAACTGCTCCCAGTTTACTATCAAGAACTCCTCGTCTGTGGCAGAATGGTCATTTTCTATGCCCCCAAGAGCCTTTCTGCCATGATGGTGCTTCTATCTCTGGTCCCCTTATCTTTCAGTCCCATCTCTAGCCCTGGAAACCCAGAACTGTGAGTCATCCTCAGAAAACAGTACTCCCCTGACCATGCTATCACCATGCTGCTGATGTCTCCTCAGTAGCCTCCCACAGACACTGTGCCTGGCATTCAAGGTTTTGTATCAATCAACTACAAATTTCCCTCCCCATCACCTGTTTCTCTACCACAGGCTGACTGGTTTCTAAACACCCAACTTTATGCAGGATATTGCATCTAGCCACCTCAGTGCCCCTAAACCAACAGCCTTTTCTCTAAATCTTATTATTTCTCCCGCCTACTTCTGCAAAGCCTTCCCAGACATCCCTGCTCTGCATCCCAAGGAATAAATCCTGAGTCAGTCACATAGCATTCAGCTCACTCATTCTCATCCAGTCTCTTCGTTCCTCCCTCACAGATGGTGGCTTGCTTCTTTATTGATACAGGGTCTTGCTAGGTAGCCCAGATAGGCCTTGAATTCCCACCAATCCTGCCTTGGCCTCTCAATTGCTGGAGTTATAGGTAGGTGCCATCACTTCAATATAACTTGAAGGTTGTTCCAGAACCCTAGACTGTAATTTGTTTCATTCTATAGTGTGAAGTTGGGGTGACAGGCCCTGAAACAGGGAAAATAAAGCCCATGGTGGACAGAAGGTAGTCAAACCTGCCTCAGATCAGACCAGAGGGACCAGCACAGAGCACAATCAACCCATATTTAATAAGTGCTTAAGACTTGGGCATCCTCTCAAGATGTGGAAGTGGAAAGACGGATACCTTCCCCCAACAGGCTAATGCCACCACTTCTGTCAACCCTGCCACACCACACTTCCTTCAGGAAACCTTCATACTCCAGGCTGACAGCAGGGCCGGAAATGGAGCATGCAGAGGAAATCTGGTGGGGAGGAGGCCAGACAGGCAGAGGGAAGACGAGGAAAAAGGAAGAACCCAGGATTCTTCTAAACTAGTGACTTCCTCAAGGGAGGTCACTATTTAGTCCTATTATTTTGTCCCCAGAGAAAGGTGCTGGCTGAAAGATGCCCAGAGAGGGGAATCAACTTGTTCGACATGTGACCAGCCAGGGAAAGGGCTAAAGAACCAGCTAGAGAGCCCAGGTCCCCTCACATAGGGCTCCCCTTCCAGGACCCCACTAACATTCCACCGGGTTTACCAGACCCACCTTCTGTGGCCTAGTCACCAGATGGTACTCTTTGAGCAATGCAAACTCCATTGCCCCCTGGCTCCCTAAGTTCACAAAGAACCTAACTAGCAATCCCAAGCAAAATCTCTCTGCCAGTCATGGTCCTTACCAGAACCCGCTCCCTCTTTCACAGCTCTGATGGGATAAGCCTAACTGGTAGAGCACAGATTGCAAAATTCTCTAGACTCCCCTCACCACCACACACACACACACCCCACAGGCACAGTCACATGGTTGGGCTGGGGGTGGGGCAGCTGTGCTTCATTCCCACCACTGAGCTCTGTGACGCCCTCTCTTGCCTCCTTCCTTCCACATCTCATCTCCAGAGAGCCTCCTGCTAATGGCTCACGCCTCTCCTTCCCTGTCTCCTGGGAACACTGACCACCCCACAGGGAAGCTGGGGTATTACAGGTTTAAGTGGCCTGTGACGGCCAATTCTCAGTCCTACCTAGTCTCCCCTGACTCCCCTAATCTGCAGGTCAGGAGAAACCCATGGTAAAGATGGGTTCGTTTCCAAACACCTCCTCTCCTTCCTCGTGACCAATTGGTGGCAACACTGGAATGCTCTACATACGGCACCCCTTCCCACTACCCAAAGCCTGGTAGAATCCCGGCCCAGGCCAGCGCACCCATCCCCCTCCTCCGAAACAGCAGGCTGCTCAACCCGCTGTAAAAAGATCGCCCGTTTCGGGGTGAATAAAACTTAGATCCACCTGCAGGCGCCTTCGGTGAAGCCACAGTCATCTGATTCCAGCCCCCAACCCCGCCGCGTGCACCATCCCCAAGAGGAAGCTCGTTTCTAAGGAATGCCAGGTGGAGCTGGGGGGATGGAGGGCTCCAGAATCTAAGGGTCTGACGTCACCCAAATCCCGGGTTCCCTCTGCAGGAGCGGGGGAGGGGGTCGGGAAGGACCAATTTAGGGTGCCCAGAGAGCACTTCTCCCACTCCAAACAGGAAGGTCACCTCAACCGCCCACCTCTCCAGCAGCTCGGCCTGTCCCCCCGGATGCAAAGGTGACACTTTGAAGGTAGAAGACTGGAGCCGCTGATGGCCCTGGAGCCCAGCTCCACGCAAAGCCCTCCCCACGGCCTCCAGGCCCGGACTCACCCACCCCGACTTCTCAGCTACGGAAAGGCCTCCGCGCCGCGCCGCGCCGCACTTAGGGATGTACCTGGCGAGACACCCGACGGAGGACCTGGCGATGCACCCGGTGATGCGGCGCGGAGCCGGCCGCCAGCCGCTCCGGAACTGGGGGCTGGGAGGAAGCGCGCGTGTCCGAGGCCGGCTCGCGCGCCCGCGCCGCCGCTGCCTACTGCAGCCGCTCTCGCGAGACTCGGGCCGCTTCACCTACCTTCCGGAGAGGGTGGGCGCGGTCGCCCCTGCACCTTGCAGGAGCTGTCCGAGGTGCTAGTCGCCCCCCATACCCCCCAGTCCTGCCCGGAACAAGTGGTAGGTGGTACCTAGGGGACAAGAGCTTGGTGAGCTCATAAAAGGGAGAGACCCAAACATGAGAGCCTGGTGGCAGCACCCGGTGCCTCAGTTTCCAAATCCGTAAACTGAGAACAGCCTATGCCTATCCCAGAGCCCTCCGGGATGCACCAGAAGAAGTTAAAAGCATCTTGAGAGCAGGACAATGTGGTAAGAGATGAAGGGCCTCAGTTCCAAAGGCTCCGGGGCACATGGAGAGACAGAAGTGAGACATAGACACACAGAAAGGCGGAATGACAAAAGAACAGAGCCACGTACATAGACGTGGAAACATGGAGAGATCTGGATACTGAAGCATAAAGAGGGCAAGACTTGGAGGGATCTGGGCTTGTGGCACATTCCTGTAATCCCAGAATTTGGGAGGCAGGAAAATGGAGATTTCTAGGCTGGATGGGCTGGTGCTATCTTGTAATAATAATAATAATAATAA